GGGACTTAGGGTTTTAGTCCCACCCTCTAGGAATATCGAAATAGAGGGATTTACACAAGAATGGGAAGATGCAGCAGCTAGATGCTCAACTACCTTTATGTCTATCATATGTAAATATGAATCTGTACACTTAACACATATTCAAAAAACCCTGGACACTGAGATTGAGAACATCCAAAAGTTTAAGGACGACCCTCTGTTTCCAAATTTAGAAGTGAGATTGAAGACTAATTTGGATAGATTTTCTTACCAAATCAAAATTAAAAAACACCATAAATTCGTTAGGGACACTACGGACTTTGAGACTGGAAGAGTCTATCGACAGACCAAAAGGAAAGTCAGGATCGACTCTGATCATTTCAGTACTTCTGAATATGAATCGACTGACAATGAGGGAGAAAATATAGCTACCACCTCTACACAAATTGAACCTAAAAGTATATTGAGGAAGGGCGTAGATTTTTTAGGCTTACGACAGGCGGACAAATTTCAGCGTCCCAGAACAAGACAAACACAGAGAGGCAGGGGTCAGAGAAGACCACGACGCCAATAACTAATGACTTAAGGATAATCAACTTGTCCTCAGTCATAATAACGGATATACAATCTCAAACCCTTTCTAAAGGCTTATCCTTTGTGCCCACACCTCCCTTTAACAAATTTATGTGGACAAAGGATTTGAACCTATTTGCCCGTAAATTGGCTTTACATAAATATCATACACATAAAAAAGAGTTACGAGCATCTAGTCTGGGGTTGACAATTAAGGACATGGATTGTCTGGAGACTCTGATTGAACTTCTTGACTCCAACAATTCTAAGGATATTAACATTCCAACTACCCAACTTGCACCTAAGAGTCGCTTCACACCACATTTGAAAGACTATAAGAATATTGAAGTCTTTCTTGATATGGTATGTGGAGAAATTGAAAAAGTAGAACTGGGGACTCTGAATATAGAACCCACTGGGAATCTCACTAGAACAGAAAAGTTGGCACTAAAGCAACTAAAGGAGAATGATCAATTGGTCATTAAACCATCAGACAAGGGGGGCAACATAGTCCTTATGGATCATTCTAAATATATACAAATGGTAAAAAACTTGTTAGATGATCGAGAAACCTACCAGATATTAAACCATGATCCAACTATGCAATATCTTGTTGAGATTAAGGCCATGCTAAGTCAAGCCCTAATGGAAAATCTTATTACCAAAAATGAATTTGAGTTTATGCTGGTAAAACAACCAATACTCTCAACCTTTTATAGTTTACCTAAAGTTCACAAATCTTTAGAAAGCCCGTCAGGTAGACCAATTGTTTCAGGCTGTGGGAACCTAACCCAAAATCTGAGCATCTTTTTGGATAAGATTTTATCCCCTATGGTTGCAAAATTACCCTCTTACATAAGGGACACGAAACAGATGCTTAATTTTTTGAAGGAGATCTCCATACCTGAACAAGCACTTCTATGCAGTCTGGATGTGGAGTCTCTGTATAGTTCCATACCACATATTCAAGGAATTGATAATATCAGAACTATCCTTGAACATGAATTGCACACTCCAGTCGCATACATAGATTTTGTTTCCAACTTACTTAAAATGGTTCTTACAAGAAATGTCTTCATCTTTAATGGTACCATCTATCAGCAAATTAGGGGGACAGCTATGGGGACTTCCTGTGCCCCCTCATACGCTAATCTCTACTTGGGGACTTGGGAAAATCTTATTAGATCAGCCCCACATTTGAGCTACTTTATGGAGATGATATTCTGTTGGAAACGCTATATAGATGACGTTCTGGTCATATGGACAGGGAGTAAAAAAGATTTTGAGACCTTTGTAAGTCTCCTTAATGTGAATGATTTGAATCTAAGATTCACTAGCGAGATAGGCGGCAAACAACTTAATTTTCTGGACATTACTATAACCACTTCCGGAGGAAGGGCTTCAACCACCCTTTATAAAAAACACACTGCCACTAACAGTCTGCTAAATTGGCATAGACATCACCCTCAACCCCTAAAGGCAGGTATACCAATTGGGCAATACTTAAGATTGCGGCGCAATTGCTCTTCCATAGATGACTTTAAAGTCAAGGCATGGGACCTGAGGCGAGCTTTTAAGGATAAGGGCTATCCCAATAGAGTGTTACGCAGAGCGTACACTAGAGCAATCAGCACCGAACGCGAGTCACTTTTAACAGATGTTAAGGTGCAAGCACAAGATCAAAAATGAATCCGATGTATTGCCACGTATGATGCAGGTTGGGACTTTATGATGGATACACTGAAGCGATTTTGGCCAATCCTAACATCTGATCCACAAATCAAACAGGTAGTCACCATGTTTCCCTCTGCGACAGCACGGAGGGGCAAAAACCTACGGGATACATTGGTACAGAGCCATCTATCCTCCCTTAAAAGAGGGTCTCAAAACTATTTGCCCAAGGGGACGTATAGGTGCGGACACTGCAGCGCATGTGAATTCATTGACCAAAAATCTAAGGAATTTACGGACAGTAATAATAAAGAAACCTTTTCAGTCCACTCGTTTATCAACTGTAGGACGGAAGGTGTCATCTACTTACTTACCTGCTCATGTGGCATTAAATATGTGGGGAAAACGTTTAGACCTTTTAAATTAAGGATTAGGGAACATGTAAATTCGGTCAGAAGACCCTTAGAAACCCCAATCTCACGTCATTTGAGAATTCATCATTTGAATTCTGCCAATAAACTAAAGTTCATGGGAATAGAACATATCCCACAAACTCAACGCAAGGGCGATTGGGATAAGAAACTGAGACAACGTGAATCCTATTGGATCTACAGGCTCAAGACCCTCTCCCCTGCTGGCCTAAATGAGGGTTTTTCCTTTACCGCTTTTCTTTAATTCGCCATATCTCCCGATATATTTTCCTGTCTCTATTCTCTCTCTCTACATTGGATATAAACAATTTATAGGGAAATTTTTATTAGTCCCTCGATGGATTAAATATATCACATTATAAATGAACACACTATTATGATCTCTTCTTTTTGCAAAACTTCTTTTGTTCCCAAACGTTTATCACCTGGACTTTATGTCATCGCCTTTTTTGGATTGCTAGTCTTTACTGTAACGTCTTAATTAGCCCCCTGTTATTACATCAATATATTAATATACATATATTATAGCAATTATCTGTCTAGGTTTTTTAATTATGTCCACTATTTGGACATATATATCTAGGGGATATATTTAATATTAATACTAATTTTTATTGTATATCATGTGGTAACTTTTGAGCATCTTCAATTTATACTACTTAGCATTAGTTATTACCAGGGTATTTTATGTTAAGACCGTACAGTATTAGTTATCACCAAGATATTTAATTAATTATGTCAAGATCGTATTGTCACCCAGTGGTTCACATTGGGTCTCTGTCTATGGGAATTTTGTGTATATTTTCATGTTGACCCCATAGGGGCATTATTCACAGTCTATTCCCTGTATTACATCCACCTACCTATGCCAGGACTGTATCTGACGGATGGGTAGTCTCATAAAGACAATGGACCAACGGACAGCCTTAGCCTATAACCACTCACTGGTGATTACTATTCAATATCGATCATAACGGGACTTTTAATCATTATATTGCTACTAATTTAATAATTTTTACGGAATCACTCATCCGCTTTGGATCTTATGGGGGCACTATTTAAACATTATGCCCCTCGATTCAGTTCAGTATCACATCCTACGACGTGACTGACAAGTGGTAGATCCAATCGATAGATGGACAGGAGGGATAGGCATTGGACCAATTGCTAACCGGTATGCGCGCATGCGCACTGGGCGCCTATAAACTACATATCGTTATCACTATGTAAACCCTCTTTCTGTTTTATATCCTAACAAAGTTCCTAAATTATATTGCAATGAATAAAAAATCCTGTGGATGAATCAACTCACGTGGTCATCGTTTCAACCTCATTATTACGCCCCTCTATTCATTTTAGCACCACGTCATATGACGCGGCGGACAAGAGGCGGGATTAAGAGGTAATTGACCAATAAGCTAACAGTATTTTCGGCAACACACGTGGTGCACAACAGCTGCCCTTCATCTTATAGATTATAACAAGGTGTATTTAAATCGCTACAGGGAACTTCAAAAGTTTACTGCTCCTGACGACGGCGTGTTGAAACGCTGAAACGCGCGCCGAGCTTCTTTTTATTTTATTTTCTTTGTTTTACACTTTTTTGGTAGCACTGATGGCTTGATTTAATTTAATTTATTTTATCAGTTATTATTTACCTTTGACAGGCAGGGACTGAGTCCTCTTGGTAGGCACTGGTGATTTTTCACAGTGCCGAGGTAACTAGGGCAAGTGGACTTTTATAGGAGCTTTTTGTATAAGATTTACTCCTTGGGATACTTCCCTTTTCATTTGCTCCCTTTCCCTATTTCTTTAGTTACCCCTTTCTTCAATTAGGGTCCCTGTTTTGGGAAGATTTAGAGGACGTGCTTCTTTAGATCCTAGACATTTAGCAGGCAGTCTTTTAGATACTGTTCCCTGTATCTAGTCTGTAGGACTCTCTTTTTGCTACATTTCTTCCCACCTGTCCTATTGTGTGTATCTTTAGAATTATTAAAAGGTAGGGACCCCTATTCCCCTCTTTATATTACTCTCCTATTTAGGACTCTCGTGGTCCTCCTTTTCGTTTTAAGTTTTCTTATTTGAGGGTTATCCCCTTTCTTGGGAGAGTAATTTCAGGACTTTATAGCACTCATTCATCGGTCATAGTCACGACCCCTGAATCAGAGCTACTACTTCTTATTTGTTATATTTAGGTGTTAAGCACCATCTTCAGTTCTGTATATATCCTTCTAGAGAGAGACGTTTGATTTAAAATAGATTTAGAGACAGCATATCTGAGTTAATGGCTGGTTTTCTCACCAACAAAATAGATCCTAAACAATGGTGCTCGGATGCAGACACTATTTTCTCTACTAGCTCCTCATTACAAGCTCTTCCCCCCGTAGACATACAAAGTGGTTTTAATAAATTGACCAAGACCTTTAAACAACAAATAAGGACTAGTTGGGAAATCTCAACCCTTGAGACATATATTGCTAAAAAGATCATCCCTAGGGGACTTAGGGTTTTAGTCCCACCCTCTAGAAATATTGAAATAGAGGGATTCACACAAGAATGGGAAGATGCAGCAGCTAGATGCTCAACTACCTTTATGTCTATCATATGTAAATATGAGTCTGTACATTTAACACATATTCAAAAAACCTTGGATACTGAGATTGAGAACATCCAAAAGTTTAAGGACGACCCTCAGTTCCCAAATTTAGAAGTGAGATTGAAGACTAATTTGGATAGATTTTCTTACCAAATCAAAATTAAAAAACACCATAAATTCGTTAGGGACACTACGGATTTTGAGACTGGAAGAGTCTATCGACAGACCAAAAGAAAGGTCAGGATCGACTCTGATCATTTCAGTACTTCTGAATATGAGTCGACTGACAATGAGGGAGAAAATATAGCTACTACATCTACACAAATTGAACCTAAAAGTATATTGAGGAAGGGTGTAGATTTTTTAGGCTTACGACAGGCGGACGAACTTCAGCGTCCCAGAACAAGACAAACACAGAGAGGCAGGGGTCAGAGAAGACCACGACGCCAATAACTAATGACTTAAGGATAATCAATTTGTCCTCAGTCACAATAACGGACATACAATCTCAAACTCTTTCTAAAGGCTTATC